GGTTGCCGAATGGCTTTCAGACAGGACCTTCCTTCTTTCTTTTGCAACAAAGATGGCTGTTGTTAGAAAGACAAGCTCTCACACAGGAAATGATTGTCGCTTCCTCCACAAGCATTTCTGGCTGGCATTGGTCCTCCCTGGTGGGGTTGCAATCTGTGTGGATGGCGTGGGGGCTCCACGTGATCAGAGAGAACAGGGCTCTGAATCTTAAGATAGGGGGCCAGAGTACAAGAGGTAAGTGTATGTATCTGTAGGTGAAACCTGGCTTAATAGCAGCAACTGTGAGAGGGATCTGGGAGTCTTAATGGACAGTCACTTAAATATGAGCCAACCGTGTGCGGCAGCAGCCAAAAAAGCCAATGCAATCCTAAGTTGCATTAACAGAGGGACTGAATCAAGATCACGTGAGGTACTAGTACCACTCTATAAAGCCTTAGTAAGACAACACCTAGAATACTGCATCCAGTTTTGGTTACCACACTATGAAAAAGATATACTGGGTCAGAATGCTTCCCTCCCCAATGGGGCTGCTGGCAAAGGAAGAGGAGAGATGGGTGTCCATAGCCTGCATCTCTAAGGCCACATGGCAGCCTGGAGTTCCCTTTGCAGCCCAAGCACACTAACATCACATTATTCCCTGGCATTTTCAGTTTAGAAGCAGAATGAAAATGTCATATTATCCCCCAAATAATTATTAAAACCAATGAATCCTTCCAAACAGGGAGAAATTGGAGGAAAAGCTTCATATCTTTGCTTGTTTCTTTCCTAACCATCCTGATGGCAAGGTTTACCCATAAGACTGAGCTATCAACTAGAGGCTGAGTTTACACCAGTGGTGGCGAACCTATGGCACGGGTGCCAGAGGTGACACTCAGAGCCCTCTCTGTGGGCACGTGCGCCGTTGCCCCAGTCCTAGGCCTTCAGCTGGGTTTTATAAAACCTTTTCACTTTAGGCCTCTGCCGCCATGTGCAAAAAAAAAAAAGGTTCAATCAGTCAATTTCAACTTCTCACGGAAAAAAAAGATCTTGCAAAGTTGGAATTGATTGATTGAACTTTTTAGTCCCACCCAGTCTGCCATTACCACTGCAGCCACGCCCACCCGGCATGGCTTTGGCCATACCCAGCCAATGGGCCACACCCACCCGGCACTCGACGATGTATAAGTGGGTTTTGGGTTGCAGTTTGGGCACTCGGTCTCTAAAAGGTTCGCCATCACTGGTTTACACACTGCACTAAGCAAAACTCAGATTACACCCTCATCAGAAGGCAATGCACTCGTCTCAGCTGCAGTAGCTGTGGATTATGAAGCAGGAGCTTTTCTCCTGCCAACATTTTAAACCACGTTTTAAACTCTCACCAAAGCAGGATGCAAAAGGGTTTTTCCTCTCTTCCTCCCTAAATGCAGATCGTTCTAGCTGCTGCTTTCCAAATGCCCCCCTCCCGCTCTCTCTGCTCCACCCAAGCGCTGCCTCCCCCCTTTCCCCAGACCAGAGCCCACGGCTGGCTGGAAGAGAGGGCAGCCACGTGTCCAAAAAACTGCATGTGAAGGTTTTTGAAAAGCTCTGCCTGGAAGTTTAACGCTGGAGCCCATTCAAAGGCATGGGGAGATCTTTTAAGCTGCATCTCTCCTCCAAGGAATGGAAGCCAAACTGCCTTTTGCTGGGTTGGCCACCAGCTGGAATAAATACAGGGATTCTCTGCAGGACTGGAAAAACTGAGCAGCCGAGGAGGAAGATCCCGGGCATTACTTCAGCCACCCACCCAGCACCTGCTCCAGCGCCAAGTGCAGAGAGAATTTCACTATTTTGATAGTTCTGAAAAAACTGCAACTTGCCTCCAAGACAGCCCGTTTCCCCCCCCCTTCCTAACACCTCCTTCTACAATATGCAATTCTCCCCGCAGCTCCCGCAAAACAGGCTCAGTGGAACCAGAAGCCAATGTGCCTTCATCCTGGCTTGTTCAAACCCATACCAGTTTCCCTTTAAAAGAGCAACAGAGGAATTTGGATTGAACAACACCACAACAGCCTAAGCTTCGCAAGCCATGACCCTGAGCTCCTCCCAACCCAAGTCATGAAAATGCTCAGTCCTGCTCAGGATTTCCACTCACTGAGCCCTCTGAGGTGCAAATTCAACCCATATTTGTTCCTCCCATTGTCTCGACCTCCCTTCAGCTCCAGCCAAGCGTCAGCTGAAGCATGAGAACACCACAAGAAAGTCTCGCAACCTGATCACACACACACAGGCCAATGGCAGTTCCTGCTTCACCGCTTCCTCCCCTGGGCTGCTTCTTTCTGTCTGGATGGGAAAGAGCCGCCATGGTGAACCTCGGAGGGATTTTCCCGTCCCATTAAGGGAGTCCTGGGCTCTCTCCTTTGAACCAATCTATGCCTTGATTCTTCCAAGACTATGTCAACCTAAGTACTTAAAATATACTCACGGTAACCAAATAATATCCATTCACAAGAACAACATTTCAATAAGGCAGATTTGCTTACTTGCAGAATTACAAAACAAATAATCATATGATTTGCAAATAACTAAGCATTGACTTTTACTTCTTATCCATCAAAATCCTACAGATCTTTTCTCTACTTATTGGTCTTTGACAAACCTGCATCCTGAAAGTGAAAGTTCATCTTCCTTAGTATCTGCAGTTTTGAGAAAGAGCTCAGATTAGAGCTCATAATATTCCCCAATAGCAAATGAAGAACATCTACATTCAAAATTCTTCCCAGTGCCCCGAATTTCATGAACTCAACATTCCTGCGTGAGATATTTAGATACTCCAGGGAAGAACCTCAAAATCTACCCAAAGCCTTGGGTTCTCATACAATATTCTACCATTTCCACACCAAACTTTGAGGAGTGGATTTCCTAAAATGACACCATTACATTTATTTGGGATGGGTATGTAAATTGTGCTCAGTACTTGAGGAGATTTCTGTACTTGTATAGCATGGAGAATCCAAGGTGGTTATTACTAAAAGAGGCCCAGTTAAAAAGCCTCTCACCTCCCTTGTATTTCCTCAGAATGAAATCATGGAGAGACGTAAGCCGTTTTAAGCCCAGTACTCTTCAATATCTTCATAAACGACTTAGATGAGGGAATTGAAGGGGAACTCATCAAATTTGCAGATGACACCAAACTGACAAGAGTAGCCAACACCCCGGAAGACAAACTCAGGATCCAAAAAGATCTTGACAAACTGGAACAATGGGCCTTATCCAACAAAATGAGTTTCAATGTGGAGAAAAGCAAAGTCTTACATTTAGGCACAAAAAAACAAAGGTACAAATACAGATTAGGCGAGACCTGACTCAAAAACAGTAACTGTGAGAGGGACCTTGGAGTCCTGGTGGACGATCGCTTGACCGTGAGCCAGCCATGTGCAGCAGAAACCAAAAAAGCTAATACAATCCTGGGCTGTATAAACAGAGGCATAGAATCACGATCACACAAGGTATTAGTACCGCTTTATAAAACGCTAGTGCAGTGGTGGCAAACCTATGGCACGGGTGCCAGAGGCGGCACTCAGAGCCCTCTCTGGGGGCACGCGTGCCGTCGCCCCAGTCCTAGGCCTTCAGCTGGGTTTTATAAAACTTTTTCGCTTTAGGCCTCCGCTGCCATGTCAAAAAAAAAANAAAAAAAAGGTTCAATCAGTCAATTTCAACTTCTTGCAGGAAAAAAAAGGTCTTGCAAAGTTGGAATTGATTGATTGAACTTTTTAGTCCCACCCAGTCTATCATTACCCCAGCCACGCCCACCCGGCACTCAACGATGCATAAGTGGGTTTTGGGTTGCAGTTTGGGCACTCAGTCTCTAAAAGGTTCGCCATCACTGCGCTAGTGAGACCACACCTGGAATACAGCAGCCAATTTTGGTCACTATATTACAAAAAAGACGTTGAGACCTTGGAAAAAGTCAGAGAAGAGCAACTAAGATGATCCAAGGCCTGGAGACTCAAACATATAAAGAACGACTGTAGGACTTGGGTTTGGCCTAAAGAAAAGAAAAAATAGGGGTGACATGATAGCCGTGTTCCAGTATCTGCTAGGCTGCCACAGGGCAGAGGGGGCCAGGTTGTTCACCAAAGCACCAGAGGGAAGGATGAGAAACAATGGTTGGAAACTGATCAAAGAGAGAAGCATCCTGGAACTAAGGAGAAACTTCCTGACAGTGAGGACAATCAACCAGTGGAACAGCTTACCCCCAGAAATTGTGGGTGCTCCATCACTGGAGATTTTTAAGAGGAGACTGGACATTCACCTGTCTGAGACGGTGTAGGTCCTCCTGCTTGAGCAGGAGGCTGGACTAGAAGACCTCCAAGGTCCCTTCCAGCTCTATTCTATTCTAAATCAGCTGAGGATGAAAGGTTTGCCTGTACAACAGTTCAAAGCTTGGAAAAACCCGAGGAAAAACTAGCACAGTTGTATCCCAAGGTTCCTTATATGGAGCTAGAAAGACTTCCAAAATCTGGACCAGAATCTGACTCAAATCATAGAATCCAAGAGTTGGAAGGATTGACTGAAGCCATCAGGCCCAATCCTGTACTAAGCAGGAACACAAATTACAGCATCCTCAAGTGAGGGCCGCCTTGCCTCTCTTAAAACATCTATTGGTGTAACTATTTTTCACCAAAACATTTAGCTGTTTTCCTTTTATTACATAGAGTGTGTCAAACATCAAACTTAATGTTTAGACTTTAGAGTACACAAACAAGTACACAAGTACACAAACACAAGTATTCTAAACAAATGCACCTTGAATGTACAATTTTCCTAAAACTACCCAAATGGATACCGATTTAAAAGGCAAATTCATCCCTGGTGAATGACAAGACACAAGCTAATTTTTTTCTGCCATACTTTACCTTCCAGCCACTGATGTATCCTGGTAAATTCCAAGAAGGCGATACGCAACTCAGAAAAGTCGCACACACAATCAGGACTGGATTCAGTATGAACAAGAAACACCTTTAGGATGGAAAGGCTCTTACCTTGAAATCTGCCAGCTGCTGGTTGATCACCTCCACCTCAGTCCCAACTACCCACTGCAGGGCTTCACCCTCTTCTGCTGCAGTGGTCATGTAGTTTAGCTCCTTCAGTTTGTTGTAAAAGTCTTTCACACGAGCCAGTGTGGTATCCACCTGCTCCAGGCGGCTTTTCCCCCTTTCAGTCAATTTGATGCATTGCTTATTTAAGGTCTCCAGTTCACGTTTCAGCCCTATGAGATCAGGACTCCCTTCATCGTCCAGCATCTGTCTACATTTCTCTTCAGAAGCTTGGATGTCCAATCTTAACCGCTGAAGTTTGCCCAGAAATTCATGGGCATCATCTGCTTGGGACTGGAGGCTGTCCATGTCCCTCCCAACAGAGCCCATGCTGTCCAACTCATCATCTAGGTCAGTCAGTTGAGAAAACATTTCCCGAACATGATTATTAAACAGTCCTATTCCTTCAAGCTTGCTTTCCATGATTTTACAACATTCATTGACTTTTTGCTTCACCCCCTTGAAATCTTGCTGGACAATTTCAGCTTGGCGTAAGAGGTGGGAAGAGTCTGATCCACGGGGAGTATCTTCCACGAGACCCCGAGTGAAGTTCCCGAGGTAATCCACTTGGGCTTCCAAGGCCTGAAGAGCCTCCTGTTGAGCTCTCAGTTTCTCCAAATTTTTACTGCTGCAGGCCTGAGGGCCAAGAGCTTCATAGATCTCCAGCTGGTGCTTTGTCCCTTCTAGTTTCTTTTCAATGTTCCTAAAACTTTCTTGGAACTCCTTAAGCCTTTGAGACATCTCTTCAAGGGACTCAGTCTTGGCTTGGAGCTCTTCTGTTATAGCATCCATATTCTGGTTGATCTCTGCTTTCTCATCTCTAATGTCATCTTCATCCGTTTCTGATGCATCAATGAGGACATCAGCAGCACTATTCAGCATCTCCAGAAGGGGGCGTCGTTTTGCTACATCACTCAACATGGCCTTTGACCTTAGAAGAGCAGCTTCCAGTTGCACTGGATCCAGAGTGACTTCTAACTCTAACATCTTTGACCTACAGTCCTCCACCCAAGGGAGAAGGTCTTCCACATGGCGCTGGTGTTTCTGGGCCTTCTGCAAGCAGTCCTTAAGTCTGGAGTGCCGGCTCGCAATTTGTTTGCTCAGCTCCTCCCAGTTGGTTTTCAAGCTAACCACCTGGCTTTGCAAGGTTGCCTTCTCTTTCCCAGGACGAACAGAGAGAAGCAAAGACTCCTCCTCGGCCACAATCATTTCATAGGAGCCACTGTGTTGGTTCAGGCTCTTTTGGGATTCTTCCTGCTCCTGAATCTGGAACTGCAGCCTCTCCAGCTTGGCTGAGATTGGCCCACTCTGCGCCTGCTGCTTCAGTCTGTCTTCTAGCCAAGCGTGGAGCTCATCAAACATCTGCTGGAACTGCTGGGAGCTGGCGAGCGCCGTCTGCAAACGATTCAGCCGGTCACCTAGATATGGGAAGGGATGCATGGTTGAAAATGTGCTTCACAACACAGACTTTTTTTAAATGCACAAACTCAAATACCAGTCTTTGAACTTGTCCCAGGGGGAAAAAATATACACATTTGAAGCAAGCTACTCTAGGAAATAGAAGCAAGTGAAATGAGATGGGATTGGCTGCCACTCTGTATTTTTTTCCACGTAAACGTAAAGGACTTACGCCCAATTATCTTCTTCCTTTTTCTGCTGGGCACTCGTATATAATTATTTTTAGTTCTAATTATTGTAGATTTAAAAAACATTTTTCTGAGCTTGAAGATGGAGAACCTTTCAACTATGGGAATTTTAGGACACATTGTACCAGTCCTTTACGCTATCTTTGGGGAGATGTAACATTACTCATTGTGTGGGTGAGCAATCCTGGAGAAGTGAGAATTCTCTCTCTTTCCCTCTCTAGCTGGGTATTTACAGCACACTGAACCACAATGGAGTTTGGCTTTGACGTGTGTGGTTTTCTTTCTTTGTGAGACCACAAGGACAGAAGAACCAGCATTTTCTCCTGGACCACCATGCAGATCGGAGTGTTTGGGTACCATATTTACAGCATTAACGTGAGCAACAGGTTCCTTCCTGGGAGAGCACTCACAATGGCTTGGCGTGTGCTAATGACCCTGCTGGTTTTAATGCCACCTAAATGGGCACATTAGAGGCTACTGGGCCCAACTGCACACTACCATCTCCCTCCCTCCGCTTTGAGCCTGCTTCTCAATTAAATGGCACCGTTCACTTCAGAATCTATGTACGTTATACCTGCTAAATCCTCCAGCCCTTTGAGAGGCAAGGCGACAGTTTCCAGGCGCTTCCTGAGTTCATCTTTAAGGTACTGCTCTCCAATGAGAACCGAGAGCTGCTCGCACAGGGCTTGAGCCTCTGTGATCTCCTCTTCCAGCTGCTCCAGCTCAGACCGGATTTCGCTGGTTTCCTCCAGCTGCTGCTTCACAGCCTCTGGCTGGGTGCTGATGGCAGGCTGGGTGCTCAGGCGCTGTCCAGCAGCTTTCACCTTCTCAGACAATCCCTGGAGCAGCTCTTGGAACTGGGTGCCCTTGACTACAGCCTGGTCGATTTGACTGGAACGAGAGTTGAGACGTTCCATAAGCTTGGTCCACTTCCTGTTGATAGCCTGGAGCTCCTCCTGCACATGGCTGTGGGATGGAGACTTTTCACCAGGGCCGGTGGGGATTCCCCGGGCTGCCTCATTCAGCTGGTCATACTGGTGCTTCCGCGCTTCAAATTCCTTCAGCATGAACTGCAACACAAATATATATGTGACGGACTAGGGTGATTCAATGAAAACAAAGGTAAAAGTGAAGAAAGAGGGAAAGGATGGTTGCTATTAGCTTCACTATAATGGGAGTCACCATTTTAAGACCTCAGAAACCCATAAAGTCAGCCACAAACGCATTGCTTTCCCAAATTCCACTAAAATAATTAAGATGCCTTTTTCTGTAAAATAAATTGGTGGTTTTCAAGTATTCTGCCCTTGGGGATTCATCTTTATATGGATTAACATGAAAATGAACTTCCACACATTGCAAACGATTCTGAAAAACATTCTAGGCTCAGCTTTTGCTTTATGAAATGTGGGGAAGGAAATACTTGGAGTCTGGGAAGGAAAAGGGAGGTTTTCAAAACGTGGCACATGAGGAGCACAGACATTTCAGCCTTATCTCTCTAATGTCACATCAGTCCCACCATTAGGGGATCAGTGAGAAAGAAATCCCATAATTCTCAGAGATCTCATCTTAGTGTAATGAGTAATAAGTGACGACTGGAGTCTATTTCTCTAACTTCTAAGATTCCATAAATGAATCCCATTTTTCCTATTATTCATCCTCATTATTGACATTCTGTGTGAATATTGCTTCCTTGATTGTGCACTGCTGTTAGGGTATTGACAATTATGAGGATGCCCTAGAAACCCCTCAATATGTCTTTCACAATGTGTTGAACTGCAACCTCCTACTTTCCAAGTACCATGACCAAACAAGCAACTCCAGCCACATGGACCAGGACTGGGTGGCATGGGAAGCGACCTACGGAGGGAGACCACTCTTGAGAGCCAAACTGCCCTGCCATAACAGGTCCAAGGAACATCTTCTTCCAAGAACTTGCAGGGTCGAAGCAACAAATGGCAATATTTATATCATCAATTAACTATGTCATCTTCAGGTTCATTCAGAAGGAACATTTAATGAGGTGTAAAACATGTATAACACTAACTAACAAATCAGTGAAGAGCCAAACAAGTTAGTCATAAAAAGTAGGAGTTTAAACTGGCTGACAACAGAGCCAGTAGCACATTTGGCAGCTCTAAAGCACCCGAACATGGAGTTTCTGGAAGTGTTGCATAGAAACTGCAGGGGCTGAGCTTTTAATACATCTCAGCTTTTCAAAAATGCTAGGGAGGATGATGGCATTTCTAAGGCATTCCAGTCCTCTGCCTCATTTGTCCTGCTGCTACTCCAGAACACATAAACAAGTGGCAGAAAGAGTATCAAGAACACTTCCCCCCCCCTTGGCTGATTGGCTACCGATTTCTTAGCAATATGATTTATTACTTCAAAAAAAAGAGGGAGACAAATTAAATATGAGCAAGATGTTAAATAAACCAAACATTTGTAAATGAGCCTGTGAGGACTTGAAGTGAAACTGGAGGTTTTTTGATCAAGCAAACTGAAAGGCCATTCGGCCTCTTCAGTCCCCAACTCCATCCACACTGACTTCTCTGCACTCAGTCCAAACTCACAAAAAGGCAGAAACCAAGACTTTTGCTCGACTCACCTGAACCTGCTGTTTTTGGGCATTCAGCATATTTGGATCAATGGACAGTGGTCCCAGCACACTCATCATAAGCTCCTTCTCCATCAGCCAGGGCCTCAGCTGGCCTTCCGCTTCCTGAAAACTTGCCAGTTCATTGGCTGATTTTTCTAGCTTCTGCTGGCGTTCCTCTGTCACCTGCTTGGCATGTGTCCACCTGGAATCTGAACATCGAAACCACCATGGTTGGGGATATTGGCAACATAATGCAAAAGTGAAATATATCTTGCGTAGATCTTTTTACAACAGCCACTGGCTAAAGAGGAGCCAAGCCATGGAAAACAAGAATAGATCCTGCCTAAACCAATATTAACATCAAAGTTCTTTGTCCCCACTTACACAGACTCATCTTACACGCACATTTCGCAGATGAAAATAGGCACACCTATGTAGCCATCCTTGCTTCGTTTCCTTTTCACACACCAAAGTTCACTGCCCCAGAGCCTTCTCTCTCCACACTGAGGACTCTTTCCTGCTTGTGTACAGAGAAGACATCCACTCTGCAAGGTGCAGCCTGCTCTGCAGCACCACGTCCTTTGCTACCTTCTAGAAGATTCGACTCTTATAACTGTCTGCGTGTGGAAGGACATGCTCACCAGCAACAAGGGCTACCACACAGGCAGTGTTCCTGATAAACGGGAATTTATTTATTTATTTCCCAGGCTGTCACTGAGCCTCAATGGGCTTTTCCCTTGCACCAAATCTTGTGGTATTTCAACAAGCTCATCTCCAAGACCTCATGGGACAAGATGATTGGGGGAACTTGCAAGATTAAGAAAAACCACATTATTATTACTACTGCAGTTATTATGTTTGGTTTAATTTGGGGAATATTTATTATTTATTTATATATAAAACATATATGCTGCCCACCTCGGCTGAAGGTGAATATGCTGCTACCAAAAATGTTATGGAGCACCTATACCGTGTTCAAAACAGAAGACATATAAAGATACCGATATCAGTAACATGGTATATTTGCTCCATAACAGTTATTTCATAGAAGCATGTTCTTATTGTGTGCTTCCCATTTTGCTCCCTTATCCCATGGATTCTTCACTGCTCCTGAGGCTGTCACTCCCCCCCCCCCCCCCGTTTACACAATGAAAGGCAGCCGGAGGAGGAATGTTCTGAATTTTTAATTAGCCTCTGCAGAGTTTCTCCAAGATTCCCAGGCCACGTACTTAAGTCTTCCAACATCCTCTTCCAGTTTCTTGCTTCTGGAGAGTCAGGGTATTTCTCCAGGAGTCCAGAGAGCGATTCCTTGGCTGCCTGGACCTTCACAGCGTTCTGCTCCAAATCACCCAGAAATGCCTATTTAGAAAGGAGGAGAGGAAGGGGGTGATTGAGAGTGAGTTAAAGGCAGAAAGGTTTTCCTGGAGAAACCCCCCCCCTCTTGACTTCTTCTCCCCTCCGAGGGTGGCAGAGGCTGCTGCTGCAAGAGGGATGATGCGACCAAAGTGGTGAGGACCAGTGTTTTCAGCCTATTTGGGGCTTTGTGAAAAGGCAGCCTTAAACTTTCTCCAAATCAGAAGTATCAGCTACTCAGATGAGAAGTTGGAGGAGTCCCAGTGGGTAAAATGCAAATCTCAAGGCATTTGCTGTGCTTCTTACTTGAGCTGGAAAAAAATGGTGCCCAAAAGTCCAGGGGGCCCATGAACCCACAAAAAGGGCGCTTGCACACAGCACTTGGAAGGCACCCATGCTCTGCACATTTTGAGTCTGGCCCTTCACTGGATGGAAAGCCTGAGCATCTGGAAGGAGGGCCCAGTTCGGAACGATTGACCTAAATCCCTGTCAGTATTTGAAAAGGATTTAGGCTGTTCTTTGAAGGAACACTCCCCAAGCAGCATTCGCAATAGTAACGCCAGAATATATTACAGAGAACCCACAAGTACAACAACAAAAATCTCTTTAAAATGGCATTTCAACCATTTGAATAACTACGTTACATTTTTGTGGGAGGCATGAAAAGGGGTTTATAAACTTAGTCTGATGCTTCAAATCAGCCTCAAATAGAGAATTGTTCTCCTGGGAAAAGACTACAAAAGAAGAAACTTGCCATATGCTTTGCTGAACAACATTATTATGGGTGGTCTTAAAAAAGCAAGGAACAGAATTTTATTTAAACATGAAAATAAGACCTTGTTATGCTCTGCCTGAGCTCTCATTGTTTCTGATTTTGTAGGTGAAGAGGAAGCTTCCAGGACTTTCAAAGCCTGCTCCTTCTCCTCCAACCATGTCAGCACAGAGTTCACCTCCTCCTGGGCCTCCCTCATCTTCTCCAACACGGCCGAGAGCTGCTCCAGGCGCCCCCGTAAAGCAGCACCCAGCGCTCTGTACTGTAGGTTCACATCTGACATGTCACACTGGATCTCCGTCAGATCTAAGGCAGAAAAAGAACCCAACTGAAATTAGAGAAATTAATTAATTTGCTTATGGTTATAGATATAAGGCCTCAATGTAACAGAGAAAGATATACTGTAAGAGTTTACATATGTTCAGTGTAATAAACAACATGCATGAACAACCTCAAAGGGCGATTCAGGTGAAAGACCTTATTCTGCACACTCAGGCTCCCCTTTTCTTAAGAAAAGAGATGATGGAAGAAGGGACACTTTAGAATTTCCAGAATCTACGACAGGGGTGCAGCTTTTAAACTATTCCCTTTCCAAGAATCAGCAGTTGCTTTGTCTCCTGCCAATTTTGCTTAGAGAGCCGTAAAAAAGCTTTAAATTCTGGATGCATCTATGATTTGCACTTAGTTAAAAAGTTTGAAATAACCTGAGATGAGCAACAGGAAGGTTTGGGAATGAGTGGGAAAGAACCTTCCAGTTTTACTCCATCCATACGGCCCAATTCATAAAGAAAGAAACTGCAAGGGTCAAAGCAACTTACTCTCTTTGCTTTGAACAAAATTGTTATTGATAGACCTAACTGCAGTAACATAAAGACACACACTTCCAGAAGTATGTACAATTAACTGAATTGCCTCACCTTTGCAGGTGTGATATCCATTTACACTGCCTGTTGAACTACCACCAGCAGGGAGCACAGCACCTGAGCAAAATCATAAGGAGGCAGACATAATGACATGGTAGTGTAATATTTTGGAAAAGATACAAAGGTTGTGTCCTTCGCAGCTGGAGCACAACTAACATCCATTCATGCTGCTATAAATTAGCTGGTTCAGTGTTTTTCAACTTTTGCAACTTTAAGATGTGTGGACTTCAACTCCCAGAATTCCCCAACCAGCCATATTTAAAATTGCTGAAGTTGAGAAACATTGAGCTAGATTGTCATTAGCCCCTTTAAGGTAGTAGGATCACTTCTGCATTATTTTTATCTTACTAAAAAAACCACTGCTAAGGCACACCGTTTCCAAACTATCACCATGAAATGCCATTAAGAAGGATCCAAGTATTTAACCAGTGTGTAAATACTGCTTAGGCAGAATTTCGAGATCAGAATGGCAGTTTAAAGAGAGGCAGGTAAGAGGAGAAAAGAGTGTATCTCTCAGTCTTCTACCTGTCTTGGATTGTGCATCTGGAGCTGTAATCTCAATGATTAAATTCTCTAAGGCTGTCCCCCGTTGGTTCATCTCCTCCACAAGAACCCCTTTTGCTATCCATTCTTCCACAAAGACCTGAAAACAGAACAGAGAAAGCATAAGAACATGACCATTGGCAGATGAAAAGGTCACAAGACTTCATGGCAATTTAACACATTGAACATTCCTTCCCACAATTATTTTGTCTTCTGTCACAATAAAAATCACCACCACATTTGGGGAAATTCTGGGGATACCCTGAAGGCTTTGGGAGCTGCATGTGGTCCTGGGCCTTCCACATGGGCCCCTTTTTTCCACAGCTTTTTAGCAGGCCAAAGCCAGCCTGCTCCCTCCCTCTGAAAGAGCCCTAGGGGAGGGGGACACACCTCTTCAAAGCAGGACATCTGGGCAGCTGCCCTCTATAACCTTTTGCCATGACAATGAAAGTGGCCTCTGCAGCAGCTCACTTCCAACATGACTCTGTAAATCTGTGTGGATGGAGGTGTTCAGCAAAGGAGGCTGAACCACACACAAGGTGGACTTTGCCACATCACCTGGGGCTTTCACCTTTCAAAGAGCTTTTTGCACAAAGTAGCAGTTCCTTGTCAGGATATCTGCCAAACTACAGTGATGAAGCCACAGCCTCCACTTTTTTCATGAATTTGCTTATAAAATGACTTCTGGACACATTTCTCTGCCCACCTCTGTTTGCTGCCTCCGCTTCTCCAATTCATGTGTGCCCAAAGAAGTCTCAGTAGCTGGGATAGTCCTCTCTGTTTCTTGCAGCCACTGCCTGAGCGACCGAACCAGTTTTCGGAATACATCCAACTGTTCTTGGCAAGACGAAGCTCCTTTTTCCCTGGGAATGGATTAAAACAAAATGGGCTGTGAAGGGCTTACACACTATCTGGCAAGCACAATCACAAACAGAAGAAGAAAGGGAAGCACTTGCTCCAAAAGCAGAAAGTTGCAGATTTCTTCCCTGCTGTCTTTACAGGCAAGGAATACGAGAATAGAACATAAAAACAAAATGTGGGTGCTCCCCCTTTTTTCTCTGTTATGCCATGGTTTGGGAGAAGTTTATCAAGCTTCAGAAGACAATTCAACAGTGGATGGGGAGAGACTGAAGATAAGGCTGTTTTTTCTAGGATTCAGAAATCCCTGACTTATAACCGTAATGGAGCCTGGAATTTCTGTTGTACGTCATGATGGTCATAAGTCAAGGCATCCATGTGACCGACACAATTTTATGACCCTTTTCTGGCAGTTCTTAAGCAGATGTAGCAGTTGTAAAGTGAACACTGCAGGCATTAAGCGAACCCATTGTCTGGGTATAAAATAGCTCCAGAATGCGTTGAATTGTTTTAAGGCTTTGTTCAGACACTTATCCTAAGGTAAAGATTCCTGGACATTCAGATAGCTAAAGAAAGGGCTCTTCTCTTTGGTGAACTTAAATAGCCTCCCAGGCACCATTTTTATTCTTATCCCATAGTTAACCCACAGTTTTTCCTCATGGTAGTTGTCCACAATATGGGCAGGCGTCTTCCTCACCCTAACACCAAAAACAATATTCTGGAGAGAAGGAGATTATTTCCTGAGTCTGGAGACAGGGAAAGCTTTCTGTAAAAGCTGGGAATACTTTGGGAAATGCTTTACTTTTGGTGAAGCATGCATTTTATTCAACTATCTCTTTGTCAAAAAGCTCTTCAAGTCTTCTAACAATTCAAAACTCTGCAAAACATTTACCAGGTGAGAAAAATTGGGAAATATTACAAACTATAGCAGCAGAGATTGCTCATGGCCTTCATTTCTCTGCCTCCCATCTTTTCCCAGCACAAAGCAACTGGGATACAGTCAAAGAATTACAATGATTCAATCTCCCACAAATTTCCTCTCCTCTGGCTGGGAGAATCCCTTCTCACCTTTCCTTTGTGGCTTTTTGCAGCTGAGTGAACTCTTTCCGCAAACTGCGCACCTTCTCTTGGTGCGAGGAGAAGCCAGTCCACACCAGCCCACAAGAGCTTATCTCTGTAGTTAAATGTTCCAGCTTGTCCAGATCCTCATGGCGCTGCTTCATCTCTGAATTCAGTTCCTGGAAACATCAGGAAACGGGGTGAAGGTGCAGGGAGACACAGGATAGATAGGGTTGAAGTGAACAGCATCTATAACTCAGTCCAAAATTTAAAGGGTTTTGCCATAAGGAACAGCCTTGAGATCATCCTGGTCCCTGGAAGTCATGCTGGATAGCAATAACAATCCCTGCATACAAATCATGTTAGGATAATTAGAGCAGACATGACTGGTCTCCAAAGGCAACTGGATCAGGGCTGTGAAACACCTTGGATTCAGCATCTCCCTGAAACACCCTTAGGCTGCTGCACTGTTTCCTGGGTCTACTGACAAGGTCATTCTTGATCAACCTTGATCGTGATCATCCTTTTCTATGAATTTGAACTTTAAAATTACAATTATGGATAAACGACCCCCAAATTTCTGTGGGCAAGGCTTGTCCCGAAAAAGAATATGAAAATGCAAAATCCCAATTATGCAACTGTGCAGAGTCCAGAGCTCTTGTTTTCTGACTTGCGAGAATTCTATTCTGCCATCTCTTCAGCTTCATTGTAAATCTCCTGCACTTGCTTAACCTCGTCTCTATAAACAGAAGGACCAGAAGCTGGACAAGAGCCAGGAAGCAAAATCCTGCAGCCCAAACTGCATTCAGGGGCTTGTGGGTAGCCTAGCAGAGGATGGCTTATGGAAGCACCCTCCCTTCACAGGAACCTAAGTGGAATTTTCCTCCAATGGGATTTTCCCATGTATTTTACCACAAAAGATAGATAGGGCAGGCTAGAAAAGTCAATGCCCTCCTAACCATACCCAAGCACTCCGAGTTTGTTGGCAATGTCCATTTTGCTCTCCGAGTTCATGGTGACATAACCCTAACCCTAGGGTGAAAATCCAGAGAAGCAGCAGTCCAAGCCTGTTCTCAAAGGGAGTGTGGTGCATAAATTTATTTATTTATTTACTTTGCATAGCTTGTTAGAGGGATTTTTGCTACTCCTCTCCCTTTTATTTCCTGGTTTGAGCCTGCCAGCTCTAATAAAACCCAACAGGCAACGGCCTCTTCCTGGAGATGCCAGAACCAAGCCCAGGGACCAGAAACCAGGTGTCCTCCAATCCTGAGCCTTGCCTGGCCCTTTGCTCAGCAGCTTCTCACCTGGATCTGCTGGGCGAAGTGAGTAATGTCCCGCTCAGGTTGGTTTCCCAAGGCCAGCATCCGCCCTCGGCTCTCCATGAATTGTTTCAGCTTCTCTGAGAGCTGCTCGTACTGTTCCACCTGGGGGAGGACCTTCTTCCAGGTGTCCTCCTTCTCCTGCTGCTGCTGCCACAGATGGCTAAAGCACTGGGTCACCTCCGCCAGCTTGCTCTGGAGGGTGGCAGCAGTGGTGCTGTCAGCTGTTTCCATAAATTGGGTCACCATTTCACGGGTGGCTTCCAAGCTGCTCTTTTGCCTGGCAATGTCTTGTTTGAGCTTCTGCAACAACAAGGATATATATTTTGCATATACCCAGAAACAGAAGAACTGCTTGCTGCCAGGGAGAATCTGCCATGAGCCCAGGAACTAAGCTTCTCGCAACAAAGAAGCTTTTCTCCATGTTTGGAAGCCTCTGCCAGTTGCTGCTTCAGGTTCAGAGATTCCATAAACCAAAGAGCTCCATGAGACAAATCCAACTCGCAGCCCGGACCAGCTCAATCAACAGGGAACCATTTTGCACCAATGGAAACAGTGCAGACTCTCCTATTAGTCACAGCTCACCCCACTACAGACTTTCATTCCGTTCCATCAACCGAGACTCAAGGCCCACAAAGTACAGAAGCACAGCTAACAAGAGGGAGTCAAAAGAAGTCTGGTCTGCTGGTGATGTAGAAGGGATGTGCTCTCCCACTGAACACAGCTTACATCAAACCTGGATTCTGGACTAGCCTGTCCTTTAACAAACAAGAATTGAAGCTGTCTTTCAAATCAAAGGAAATCCAGGGTGTGCCGTGGGGTGTTTTTTTAACGCTTTTTGTTACAGCAGTGCAGCAGCAGCACAAGGCAACCTGCTTGGACTGGACTCTTCTGAGGCCTTTGTAAAGGTTTCTGCCACTCTTCCCCATTATCTCCCCTGGGGCTCTGCTCAGTGCTAAAGCCTGGTGGCTGCTCCTTGCGGTGGGAAAAAATGCAGGTTCTCTGAGACTGAAGACTGGAGAGAAACAACCCAGAAGTTTGGAATCATTCCAGATTCCAGCTCTCCCTGTGGGAAAGAACTCTGCTTAATTCATAATAAACTTTGGAAACTATTATTTTATTCATAACTCCTTTCTGGAGACTTTGGGTGAAAAGTGTTCCAATCTACTCCTAAGGAGCAACATGTTCTATATTCCACATTCAACTGGATCTCCATTTTGATCTCAGATGCTCAATCTGCTAATTATGGCTGTCCACCAACTGAAATAACACTCTGCATATACTCAGGGAGTAGCTTTTATCACCGATCAGGTGCCATATAGCAAACCTTTGTACTGAAAGCAACATCTATGGTTCAATCGTTTTCAAAATTGGATTTGGATAAAATTAATAATGATAAAGACAAGGAAAGTCCAGGTTGTTCAGAGACATTTTCGGTGTTCAAAAAGTCCCCATCTTTTTTAAATTCTGGAACAAGAGTACAGTCAGAAAGCTAAGTGAAATATCTTACTGTGTTTGTAGCAAGCGCCTCCTGGATGGAAATGGAGGAGAATGCAGACCCATCCTTTTGTTTGAGACTTTCCTCAATCTCAGCCATGGACTGAAGGAGGCTCTCCAATGCCTCTTGGACACTCTGAGATTGAGCAATGGACTTCTGCAAAAGATCTGAGCGCTCGGCCATCCGACACAAAAGGCTCTGGAATCGGCTCACAGTGGAATCTGTGCAAGAATCAAATGAATTGCAGGGGAAAATTAAAATGGCCAAAGAATTCCTCATCAAATTTGCAGATGACACTAAGCTGGCAGGAATAGCCAAAACCCCAGAAGACAAGCTCAAGATCCAAAAAGATCTTGACAAACTTGAACAATGGGCCCTATCCAACAAAATGAGTTTTAATGTGAAGAAAAGCAAAGTTTTACATTTAGGCAGGACAAATCAAAGGTAGAAGTACAAATTGCGCGAGACCTGGCTCAAAAACAGGGACCTTGGAGTCCTAGTGGACGATCACTTGACTACGAGCTAGCAGTGTGCAGCAGCCAAAAAAGCTAATACAATCCTGGGTTGTATAAACAGAGGCATAGAATCAAGATCAAGTATTAGTACCGCTTTATAAAACCCTAGTAAGGCCACACCTGGAATACTGCAGTCAATTTTGGTCACCATACTACAATAAAGATGTTGAGACTTTGGAAAAAATTCAGAGAAGACTAAGATGATCAAAGGCCTGGAGACTAAAACATATATATGAAGAACGGCTGCAGGATTTGGGTTTGGCTAGTCTAAAGAAAAGAAGAAATAGGGGAGATATAATAGCAGTATTCCAGTATTTGAGAGGTTGCCACAAAGAAGAGGGGGTCACTTTATTCATCAAAGCACCAGAGGGCGGGACAAGAAACAATGGTTGGAAACTGATCAAAGAGAGAAGCAACCTAGAATTAAGGAGAAAGTTCCTAACAGTGAGGACAATTAACCAGTGGAACAGCTTGCCCCCAGAAATTATCGGCGCTACATCACTGGAGGCTTTTAAGAAGAGGCTGGACAGACACTTGTCTGAAATAGTATAGGCTCTCCTGCTTGAGCAGGGGGCTGGACTAGAAGACCTCCAAGGTCCCTTCCAGCTCTAGTTTGATTCTGATTCAATTCCGATCGCCTGGGATCAAAGCATTCAAGGTTCTCCAACATTATACGAAACTGCCTAGGAGGCCTGAGGAAGGGTTTAAAGCTGTAAATTTCAACGCAGTCCTTGAGAACAAATACTCCAAAGACTTTCTTCCTCGCTTTAATGCCCCCCCCCCAGCCATCCTCAAGCATTGGTCATGCTGAATTGCAGTCTAATAGACTTGGAGTGCACCAAGTAAGAACAGACCTTTTCCCCCCCAGGTTTACCTGTGATCTGCTGGATGCCTCTGTGGTCAGGAACTGGGGCTTCCCGTATTTCCAAGAGGGACTGAGCGGCTTTTTCAAGCTTTTCTACAGGCACCTGATGCTCTGCAAGGTCCTCCTGCAGGTGCTGTTAGAAGCAACGGAAAGGAGGCAGGATTCAAGGCAGGAAGAAATACCAGAACTGGACTAAAGAAGTTCATGTCTTTAAAAAGAGGTTCTGAGGCTCCAGCCTATGTAGAAGCCCTTTAGAAAGGTATGATCTGGCACGGTTATTTCTGGTTTTCTTTCCCCTGAGAGCCATACTGGTGCCCTCCATTATATAAGGCAGGAGGGGGAAGATGCCAATTCCCACTAAGGCTTCTGAAAGAAAGTTCTCTCCCCCCCACTGCCCCCCCACCAAAATGCCCAGCAAATAAAAATGCAGGCTTGTGTAGTGTGGCCCAGGCTTTTCTAGCTGAAGCTACAGGTAAAAAGTCCGCAAAAGATTAAAGCTGAGGAGTAACTCACTTTGGCGCTAACCAGCTGCCTTTGCAAAATGGCCGGATCAGAGGAGATGGGCTCCAGCAGGAGGCGGGTCACAGCCCCTTCGCTCTCTTGCAGCCACGACCGGAGAGATCCCGCCACATCCTGGAACTGCTGGGAGCGATCCAGCAGGAGGTTCAGGTGGAGGCCGAGAGCAGAGCACTGCAAACAGGAGAAAAGACCAGGTGGGGCTTTTCTAAAAACATCCCCCCCAAGAACACTTTTTCTTTTTGAATCTCCGCCTGAAGACTGCATGGTGCTGCCTGCCACCCCCAAGGCTGCCGCCAATCAGCTGGAGCTGCGCGCGCTGATCCTGGGCTCTCAGCCCAGCTCCAGCTGACTTTCCCACAAGCCTGTGAGGTGCTGCCGCCGCTTCACCTCATCCACTTTTACACTTTTTTTTACACTTTTTTTTACAGTGCTTTTCAACCCGTCATACGCGTACCACCTGCCAGGTGCCGACGTACCTCCAGTGGTACGCGGACCACCGGTTGAAAAGCCCTGTGCTAAATAAACCTGAAACTGCACAAGGAACAAATTGAAATACCTCCAAAATGACCTCAAAACAATTGTTACATAAAATACCACCAAAATGGTTTCTTTTTCCTTCTGTTCAATTGTGGAGACTGCCAGAACAAGCACCTGCATTGTCCTGGGCAAGGTTTTTTCAGAAGCAGCCTGTCCTTTCCTCCTCCTCCTCCTCCTTCTTAGTGCTGAGAGAGGGCGATTGGCCCAAGGTCACCCAGCTACCGTAGCTTCACACCCAAGGCAGGACTAGAACTCAGGCTCTCCCTGATTGTAGCCCAATGGCTTCACCAATAAGCCAAACTGACTCTCTTAAAAATGTATTTAAACATCCATAAAATCAAATTAAATAAGAAAATCAAAGCTATTAGCTCAGAATTAAAGTTATTTTCTATTGGTAGAAAGATATCAATAGTAAGACCTATTGCTATTTATCCCAGGAAACTGGGATAAAATGAGGGATATACACATCTCTATTAATAAAAGCAAGAAATAGTAAAGCGAGCTTTCCTCACAGAGGCAGAAGTTCCCACCACACAGAATAACCCCCAGTTAACTAGAGCTGGTTCTAGAAAAGCCATCCTTAACCCTAAGAGTATTTGTCATTTTGGAAAAAAGTATTTGGTCCTTTCTGGTTTTCTGAATTTTTGCATGTTTGCAGCTGTATATTATCAGAGTTTCCTGTGGGTCCTATTGAAATATGTAAAATATTGAGGGACCATATGGAACTAAGGCACGGTGCTATGGTAATTTCATTTATTTCATAAATAAAGCTATCCAGCATGTGATACGTGAGGGTGCAAAAGTGATTGATTTTAGTTTCAAATTGGTTATACCTGTTTTAGCTGCAATAACTGCCAAGCAACGATGCTCGGTGGTGCAGTGCTTAGAATGCAGCATTGCAAGCAAACTCTGCCCACTGCATCCCTGGATGTTATTCTGTTTTTTGTTTTTTGAGGTTTCCTGACACAATTATGTGACCGAGCATGTCACGCCTCTCAAATCTGTGTAGTGAAAACTTCACTGTGGTGAAGTTTGTTTTATAAGAGGGGTTTGGTTCAAAGTAGCATGACTCTTTAATGAAACAACTGGCCCCAGTTATCCTTTTAATTAGACTGAATGGGGGGGGACAGTTGCATTTCCTCACTGGCATATGCAAAAATTCAGACAATCTGCCAGGAGGCAAATACTTTTCTACAACCACATTCTAACAACTACCCTGGCTTGGAGGATGTCATAGAAGAAATGAAAACAAAATGGGGAGCAGGTACAACGGGATGCTCGGATAGAATAACCCTTTCCTTTTAAAGGTTTCTTGTACCTTAGAGTGGAGGCTGCCGTATCTCCTGTTGGCGTCTTCCAGTTTGCTCTTCACTAATGTGCTGGTGGCCAATATCTCAGGGCATGGCTCCCCTCCACTTGCAGCAATGACAGCCTCCTCAGCATCCAACACTTTCTGCCCTGACATCGTGACAAAACGTAAATCTCCTTTGTGGGAAATCACATCTTCAGAGAAGCTGCTCTGCTGGAGGAGCACAGGCTGAAGGGACTCAAGGCTGCCATCTCCTGCATATATCTTCTCCAAGTCTTGCTCAGCCTGTTCCAGCCAGGCTGCAAACTCTTGGTGGTCCCGCAAAAACTTCTGCAGCTCATCCCGGAGTGTCTGCGCTTGTTTGAGCTGCCCCTCCGTGTGAGACAAGGAAGCGGCATACTGGTCCTTCAGCTCTTCTAGCCTTCTTTGCAGATTCTGCTTCTCTTCAGGTGTGAGGTTGTGGCTTTGTTTGTCCAGGAAAGCCTGGGCTGACTGCGTGGCTAGAATGACATCTTGCTGGTGAGAAAGGAACTCTTGGTGGTGGACCTGGAAAGAAAACATAAAAGCTATGTCAAAAGTATATCAAAACCAAACTACCAATGGAAAAATCAAAGCCAGACCCTGCGGGCCAGGAAGAGAAATCTCTGGTTCTTATAGTTGTCCCAGCTTTGACTCATTTCTTCCCAACAGAGAGAGCCCAAGATTGTTCTAGTTGTATAGTTATTATATACATATACACGGGAGTCCTTCCATGGCTGCTTCCAAACAACATGGAATGCATCATAGTGGAGTGTGATACAAACAAACAGTGGATGCCAATCAATCTCACTGATGGAAAGGGTCAGGAGGGACACTTGGAGGCAAACCTCACAATCACCTCAGTAAATAGATGATCTGGAGTTGGAGAAACCATGCCCAAAACTATCTACTAATCCAGACAACTGCAGCACTTTGACCTGTATTAAAGAATGATCTGAAAGCCAAGGATGGCCACTATGAAATGGGTGAGATGGAAGCCTGCTTCTCAGCCTTCAATATACGTGATGCTGATGCTGCAATTGATTCATTATTCTCAGAGAAACTTCCAGGCCAGTTAATCCTCTTTAGTGAACATGGATAAAGAGGTGTGCTTTGAGTGTGCTCTGGGACAGAATGTCCAATTCTGGGACTCTCACACAACCTAAAGATTTACATTTGGTTTCCAGAAAAGGGCTACGATGCATTCAAGGTTAGGATTAGAGCCAAGGTGTCGAAAATCAACACAACTGAATCTGGGAGACAGTGACTAAAAATGAAATGACACAAATGGATTCATAGCCAAGCCAGGATGTTACTCAGTGAATAGATGCACCAACCTTCAAACTTGTGTAGTGCAAATCAAGATTCTTTTCAACAATTTCCAACCAATGGCCATCAGGAGCATCTTGGACTTCTCCACCTCCATGTCTTCCACCATCTTTTCCCACTGGCCACAATTTATCTTCTGGGACCCCTCTAGACTTCTTCACTGATGCCACCCAATGTAGAAGGGATTCAATCTTACTCTGATTTTCTTCAAAGTCTTTGATCACTTTAACCTGGGAACAAATTTTTGAGAGGAGACGAAGTAGCAAAATTCCTTGGATATGAATAAACTGTTGCATCTGGAGCAGGCTGCTTTGAACAGGCTGGGCAGCAAGGATAAGACAGGAATCACTTCCTTGAGCACCTTCCATAGCAGTTTTGACAGACTCTGCAACAATCAACTTACATATAGTTATATAATTGCATCTCCCCCTAAAATGTGATGACTGAATCAGATGTAGAGGTGGAGGAGAGGCATCCAATCTCCTACTCAGTGCAGAATCTAACAGGGGATCATCCAGCAATAAAAGAGTTAAAATTACCCAGCCTGTAGCACTGTCCTACCTTTTCTGTCTGTTGTTGCATTACAGAGCTCACAGCACTTTGAAGCTCCTTCTGGGCGGCCTCCACCCTTTCCTGCAGAGACAGATACTGCCCCTGAGCCTGATGGAGCTTTTCTTGCAGGGATTCCAGCTCTCCCGGGGGCAGCCTGATTCTGTTCTCCTCCAGAAAGTCCTCTGTCGCCTTCAAGACACTCGTAAAGGGAGCAGTCTGGCTGTGCAGGCTCCAGCGCAAGTCCTGGGTAACAATAAGCAAACCCTTCTGCAAAGTTCTAGGAACTGACTTTCAAGGCTGGCATTATAACTCTCTTCCAATCATCTTTTTCAACAGATTCAGTCAAAAAAGATTTCTGGAGCCACCCACTAAACATTTATCAAAACTTACCATTACTTTTACATTTTGATTTCATTTATTTATTCAACCCACCAGGCAGACTAGACCAGAAAATCAATTTCCCAGGTAGGCTATTGGGATTGGCTACAATATCCAAATCTTGCAGGTCTGACTGAGCTGCATCTCCTTCCCCTGCTTATCCTCTGGTGCATCAGGGAGGCAGCTGCCTGAGCCACTTCCAAATATTATCTTGTAGTTCTGGGCTTGAAAAATCCTCCAGCCCCTTTTGCCTAAGGAACGGTTCCTGCATCTCTCCACTGAGGTCACCTTCTTTGCCCTCTAAAATAGGGTTTCTCAACTTTGGCAACGTCAACATGTGTGGACTTTAACTACTGGCTGGGGGGTTCTGGGAGATGAAGTTCACACATCTTAAATTTGCCAAGGTTGAGAAACGCTGCTTAAAGTCTTGATGGTTCCCTCATGGAGAGCGCGATGGGAGAGGGAAGCCAGAGTGTTTCATGAAAGTTCTCCCATCAGGCCCCCAGAAAAGGTTCTGTCTTTCACCCTAAGGTCTTCCATGCTTACGGTCACGTCTTTCTGGCTGTGTTCCAGGGCAGAGAGGTCTTCTCCCGATGCCCCTGCTGTGGCTGCTTGGGAACCCTGCAGACGGGCCTCTGCCTGATCCATCCAGGTGCACATCTCCTGCAGCTTGTGGTCTCGTATGGCTTGTTGTTCTTGCAATGTCTACATGGCAAGAGGGGATTTTTAAAAATGAAGCAGTTTTTTAAGGCTTATCAAACAAATAAAAAGACAAAGTCAGAGAAAATGTAAAACAGAGAAACAGAGGTTGCTGTAGGACAAGATGCATTATCTGTCTCTTACTCTCTCTTGCTCACCTGCACCTTTCCTCTTCCATGTCAATTTTACAATAAGACTCAACTCATACTGTAGGAGGGAAGGTTGGGAGGGAAGAAATGGATGAAGGCATTCAGATGTTTGTCACCAGCCTAAGAAAATACCTGTCAATTTTTGTTTGCAGTCTTGAGAATAAAAAAGGCCACGTAGAATGCCTTTGCACGACTGCAGGGACCTACAAGAGGTCATTCCCGAGACAGACCCGGTGTGTTTGGGTGTGTGAAGGAGAGCAAGACAGAGAGAGATTCCACACAAACGTCTTTTGGCCAGCCTTCCCCAACTAGTGGTTTCCAGTGGTGTTGGACTTCAATTCAGACCCTCCAGGCAAGCTGGAGATTGTGAGAGTTGAGGTCCAGCACACTTGGAGAGTGCTGGGTTGGGGGAGGCTGCTCTGAGCACAGAGTAACTTTAAGGCGATTGAGCATGATGTGTGACCCTGGACCATCCTCCTCTCAACGCTTGGCCCCTGCTGATCCTTGGGCCAAAGGAGTTGTCCTGCTTTCTCTGTCAGTCTTAAGCCAAACGACAAAAGCAGTTTGAGAAAGGGAGTAAGAGAAGCTCTCCTCAAAAGTGCTCTTCGGCAGCATAAGGAGATCTTCTGCATTAGGGATGGGATACATTCAATCTGAAAAGGCAAAGCACATTGGTTAATACACACAGAGAGACAAGAGGCAGAACAGCACAGTGGGACAGAGGCCACTGTTAAACAACACACACACCCCCGAACAGGGGAAGTGGGCAGAGGGTGGGTGAGCAGCAAACACAGAATTGTGTCCAGAAGCGTGGAGGAAGGTGGGCAGCCCAAGGAGAAGGGGTCGAGGTCCGAGGAGGCTGGGGTGAAACCCAGAAGTTCCGTTGGGGGCAAAATTAGAGCTGAAAAGTGATTTTGATGAGGGCCACTGCATCCGAGCAGGGAAAGGTTCCCTCTTCCATCTCCAACCACAGACTTTGCAAAAGTTACCTTCTCCCTCAGACTGGGAATGAAAACCTCCCTCCCCCCACATCCCCTGCATGCATGCATGTATGCACGCATACACACACACACACACAACACCACAATTAATTTAAAAATGTAACTATCCCTATCCCCGCTTCTCTCTAGCAAGGGGAGGAACCCAGTCACCTGTGCCCCCATCGAAACAGGGATGTTGGCAGAATATTTTGTGCTGCTATATTTTTTATAGAGAATCATTAATAAAGTTAGGCAATTTGAGGACTGGAGTTAAAATTTTCAGAAAATCTCTGAGGATGCATGCCTCCTTTAAAAGAAAAAAATAATTATTTCCATATTTTCCTAAAATAGAAGCAGTATTGAATAAGAACAGGCACATTGCTGAGTTAATTTTAAATATTTACAGAGATTTCAATAAAGTATTTTCTAGTTTATTTGGAGATGTGTGTCTAAGTAATAATTGCATTACAATCATTTAGTGAATTTTGGTGCACTAATTTTTAAATTATTTCAGTGCATAAAATGCAATTTGATTTTCAGCAGAGAAAACCCAAAGACGTGCATTTGGAGCAAAATCCAATACTTTAATTGGAAGAAGTCTTCTCCAATGACCTGCTCTCAAAATCCATAATGTGCCCATCAAGTTGAAAGGTTTGGGGATACCTAATCTAGGTTGGCTACCTTTAAGGATTGTTTCATATGTAATTTTTTTCATATGTAATAGATTAGAGGAGCTCATGCTAATGTACATTATGTACAAATTCCAGCACATTTGAGTGGCAGCCCAAAAGATGACTCTTGCCCTCATGCATTTGCATTTTTCAAAGACTCTGGCTAATCTTGGGGTCACACACTCTATCTGCTGTGACCTCCCTTGCCTGCCTGTCTCTCCTCTCAGCCCTCCAGACACTCTGCTGGTCTATCCATCAGTTCTGTCCGCCAGCCCTTCTTGATCAGCAAAGCCAAGAGAAGGAGTCCTTTTTGTTCTGCACTCACTCAATGTCCTGAATGAGACCAGCCTAAAGGTTTTGCAAAGCCCAGCAGGAGCACCACTGCTTCGTCTAGAGGAAAAGCCACACATGCACAACCACAACCACACTGCTCCCTGTCATGGACAAGGCAGCCCAGAAGAGGGCAGTCCACCCCGTCATCTCCTCTATCAGCTCTGTTGGTTGGAGACAGACCTGCAGGACTTCAGTGCGGGTGGTCACTCTCTTGGACAACTCCCGAAAAGACCTCTGCAGGTCATTCAGCAGCCTCAGCAACTGCCCACTTTGCTCAGTATTCAAGTCTTGCCCGTGCTCAGAAACGAAGAACTGGATATTCAAGGCCATCTCATCAAGATGAGTTTTAGTCTCTGTGAGGGGCTTTGCCAGTTCCTGGCCATATGAAGAGAACAGAAAGAGAAACTGTTAGCAGGGCAAATTATTCCAAGGCTGGACAGAAATTACTCAACTGGAAGAAACCACATTACAGCATCATCTTAGGTTCAATTCATTGGATTTCCTTTTGCTCTGAAAGTCAGCTTCCATTGTGTTCTTTCACTGGCCAGCAACAAACCAATATCCCTGGTCTGTTAGATTCCAAGAGTTTGTTTCCTCTGAAATCATCAAGGTGGTGCATACCACAGGGCAGGGTCTTTCAGTGACATCATCCAGAGCTCAATTACATCAGTTAGGATACATACATCATGAATTAGCCATTCCTCTTTTAGAGCACCACCATATCTGCAAGTGCACTGAAGACTATTTTCCTGCCATGTGTCATAAGACTAACAATTTTAATGGCGCAGTCCTGTATTCAAACCACATTTTGGTTGTAGCTAATTAAAAGCTAACCTTACAGCTTTCAATCCTTTCTCTGCCACCAAGAGAAAGAAAAAGAATCAACAGTCCTTAATAAAATGGGATCCAGTGCTGCTCTCTTTTCTCTAAAGGAAACTAAGCCATAAATTGCTGCATTGCTTTGGAGCTCTTTTCACCCTTCAGGGAAGTAAGCCATGCCCAACAGTATTTGGCTGAAGCAGGAGACTCCCTCTTTTCGTGAAAGTCATACCATAAATGTCTCTGTCTCGGGAGGAAGGGAACAAATCCAGGACCCATGATCATACTCTAGAAAGGAAACTTGTTCTTAATTCCCATATCAAGAGCCTGCAGAATTCATCACTATAGATGGTTACAACCCAAACAAGTCACTGCCTATTATAATGGGTCCTGGCCCAAAGCAGTATTTATAAATTTAAACACATGGATGATAAATAGCTAGCCAGCATTCATCCATCCCTCACCCCCTCCCAATGACAGGTCAAAAGACCCAGTTGCCAAGAGGGGGAAGAGGTTCATCCAAGGGAGAGGACAGACCTGGATGACTCCAGGTTTTGTGGGGGAGAACAAGGAAACCGGCACAAAAAAACACAGCTTTTTGCCTGGAAAGAAAGAGAGTAATTCCAAGAATCAGAAGGGCAATTCTGGCTATTACGGTAGATGCCAGCAGCCAAGGGCCTGTGACCTTCCCCTGGGAAGCATCTCCCATCAGATCCTCCAGGGGCATCTGGGAGGTCAGTGCCTGTTATGTGCAATGCTGGAAGAGCCATGCAGCTGAGTTCAAAAAGCTGCCTTCCGCATCTTGTGATATTTTGCAAGCTCAAACAGCTAACAGGAGAATGAATGAGGGTGGTGAGGTCTCAAGAGATGAAGACAGCACGGTTAATGAAATGTCGCCTCCACCTATTCCACCCCCCATCCCCAAAACTGCATTGTTCTTTTGCAGACAACCTTAACATGGCTGTTGCTATGGCTACCTTGTATCTCTGAAGGTAGGGGGTCCAGCTGCTGGCCTCAGTCACAGCGTGGGATTCAAGGCCACTGAGTTGCTGGGTGGTGTCTGTCACCCACTTTAGCAACCCTTGCAATTTGCCATGGAGTTCGCCATGCCGGATTTGGATTTTAGCCTTAGAACAAAAAGAGACTAGAGAATTAATACCGCTATGTGAACACAAAAGCAAACCAAGATTAATGAAAGGCACCAAAAACAGTCACCCTTTCAAGATATGGGACAATTCTGAAATGAAACTAATGCCACAATGGGAGTCTTTCCCTCAGAACTGTTCTTGTAAGCAGGCTCACAAAAGAACTGCCACAAAGGTAGCTATACGTTTTAAGAAAGTGCAGAAAAACAACTGTACTATACTGTAAGGAAAATTGTGAGTACCTTTCTCAAAAGGCTTTTGCCACACAGGCAGAAAAGCACCAGACTAGAAAGTGGGAGACCTTGAGTTCAAGTTCCACCTTAGCCATGAAAGCCAAATGGGTGATTTTGGGCCAGTCCCTCCCTCTTAGTCCAACCCACCTCACAGGGTTGTTGTTGTGGGAAAAATAGAAGGAGGAAGGCATGTTGGATATGTTTGGCCCTTGAGTTATTTGTAAAAATAATAAAAGTGGGATACACATAAATAAGTAAGTAAGTAAATAAATAAATAAATGTTTGTGGGGCAGAAGAAATCAGTGTTTGGATGGACCCCCACAAATAAAGGCAGCTCCTTGAGCTGGTCATAAACTCGGACAAGGGCATTCATTTGGAAGAAGAGCCCCTGTGCAGTTGAGGCTCCAATTGCCTCACAGAACTGGACCTTCCCTCAAGAGAGACCTTCCCAGGGCAGCCAAGGGTGATTTGGGCCATGGATGGCAGGGAAGACCACACCATCAAGGGGACACAGAGGAAAAGGCTGTGACCCAAGAGAGTGGGGAAAGGCCTAGCTGCCTCCCTTTTGGAATGGGGCTAAAACATCTGGCAGCAAACAAGATAACCTTTCATTTAACACAACAGTAACAAATAGCAGAGAAGCCCAGGAGCCATCAAGACATGGCTTTTTCAACAA